AGTTGTTACCTTCTAATTTCTAATTAGTGCTCCTGGGTTCACCATATCTTGAAAATGTTGTGATATGCATATTATATCTATAGTTACGTGTGCATGTACAACAGATTTACTTATTAGTTACAATACAAATGGGGCCTTACCTTTGTAATAACACTCTTCATTTACTAACATAGGGACTATTTTTGGTACAATAAATAGATCTTCGTGAGGATAAGCACTATTTAGCTGATCATCCTGGATTAGTTCCTGTTTCCACCATCCAGGTGTGTATTAGTCTTATAATCTCTTTAATTTCTGGTTCTGTTTAGTACCCCTAAATAACAATGGAGGTTTATCTATATTCAGGGAGAGGAACTCTGCAAACAAATCGGTGCCTCGTGCTACATTGAATGCAGCTCCAAAACTCAACAGGTATTCACCAATTATATTCTGATCACCACCACATTTTTTTCCCAATTTATCCTTTGTAGTTTGTATGGAATCCAGTCATCGATATTTTTACCACATTTGTATGGAGATTGGAGATTTCACTACATGGTTATTCTTTTTTTTTTTTAGCTGAATGTGATGTTCGAATTTGGTTCAGAACATCAATTCATGAGACAATGCTTTGTAAACTTTTCTTTCACACGTATAATATCGTTTGATTCAATGGTTTAGCTGAACTAAAGTTGAGCATCAAACTTGTCAAATGTCAATTTATAGTAAAAGCTTACATATTGACCTTTTAGCCTTTTTCTGTAGTGACATGAATTTAATTAGTAACTTACAATCCACAAACCATAATTGGAAAAATCATTTTTCAAAGAAGAACCTGAACTAGTAAGATATTTGATATACTGTTTTTCGGTTCAACTTCTTTGTTCATTTCGTTCTTTCTTTCCCTTACCCCCTTTTGAATAAGGTTATAAAGATCATAAAAGATTTTGTATTTGATCTATAAAAATATTCACTGCGTTGCAATCTTATCTTTGATTCGCAAAATGTTTTGCATTTACTTGAAACATACTGATTTTTCACATGATATGGATCTAGCCGATTTTCCTTTTCTTTTTTTTTTTTCTTTCTTTTTTTGTCTTGTATCATAAAACTTTCCTTGTTTCAACTTCTGCAATAAAAGTGTTGTGAAGCCTGATATATACTATTGCACAGACTTACTGATTTCTAATGCCATATGCAGAATGTAAAAGCAGTTTTTGATGCTGCTATTAGGGTAGTGATCAAGCCCCCACAAAGCCAACGGGAGAAGAAAAAGCCGCGAAGAGGATGTTTCGTGTTCGTAAATCCACACTTTTATACTCTCTTCAAAAGCTTATTTTCTGCTTATAACTAAATATATTTAGTTTACTATTCTCCTTGCACGCAAAGAAATCAAAATAATTTAGCAAAAGTTACGTCCATATTAATTTAGCAAAAGTTACATTTTCTTTTCACCATTTAACTAAACCATACGCCGATATTGATACTTATAGTTTATATGTTGCGAATTTGCAGGAACATGTTCTGTAGAAGAAAGTGCTTGGAATGAAACGTATCGAGCTCGAATTCTTTGTTTGTTTTGCTGACAAAATATGCTCTCCAATTTAGCAACCGGAATACTATATAGCCGATTAGTTCCCTACATGTTTTTAACTTGCTTTCCAGTGTTTGATTTGTGATAAATTAACTGTGCCTTTTGATGTTGTTTGTAAAGATAGTACTGTTAGCAACTACATAGGAGGTATAAATATATTACTGTTTGTGTTTTTCTTCTTTCTCCAGAAGGTCAACATATTTATACTGCAAATAATTCAACATATTGAAAACATACTTATACTGCAAATCGGTTATGCTGGTGTAAAAATTGTCAAACTTTAGTGACTTGCAGTTGCAATCTAATTAGTGACCTATAAGATGAAAAATGCGCTAGCAATCAAGATTTTGTTGTCTCATAGAGACTAGTTTTACATGGTGAAAAAGTGAGCTTGCTCACACACAATTAGTGGATAATGTAATTCACCTACCAATAGTAATTTTTCAATTATTTACTTGCTATCTTCTATCACATTAGTCGATAGACATATTAAGCCGCTGTTCACAGTAGATTCAGAGCGAGATTGCTGCATATAATCGTTGAAATGAATAATTTTTCAATTATTTACGTGCTATGTGTATACCAATCTTCTATCACATTAGTTGATGGACATATTAAGTCAATGTCCACTTAGATTAAGAGGCGAGATTGCAGTATATGATCACATCAACTTTAATTAATCATTAAATTTTCTCGCTCTTTCTAGAAACAACTTTTTTACACTTTTTTTATCTCGCTTTTTCTATTTAAAAGTTAAAACTCATAACCACCAACAATGAGTACAAAAACTTGTCTAATTTCTTCTAACATCCTGTTGATGAGACAATTACGTGAAATATTTTAACAAAAATATGACATTCACAACATAAATATTTATTTTTGTTCGAAAAGTGTGACGGGTCGACTCACGACAGCCACCTTTGAGTAGAGTATGTGTTCTTGAAAGCAAAGTTGAAAATATGGGACAACAATGACACCTTCATTTCTTGATTATGGTAAATAAGCTTCTCGGGAAGCTTATCTAAAAACCAACCACTTGGGAAGGTTAAACACTTCAAAAAACAACAGATTTCTGGCTATTTCTTCTGTGAAAAACAGATCTTCGTATTCGAGCTGTTACATATATCTGCCAAGCCAAGTCTGCTGCACAAGAAACTTAAGATGACAGTAAAAAAAAAAAGGTCAATAATGGCACGGTAACAAGTACCCGTCATGAGCTTCATGAGAAGTTAAAACAGCTAACACCCACACAACAAGATCATGAATAGATTGATCAATCACCACAAATTCAAGTGAGCTCAAGTAAAAAGTGATCCTTACATCTTGTAACAAAGCTCATTGTGAAAAAGTCGAAAGGTGAATAATTTGTACATCTGAAAAAAGAAAAAATAGAGTAGCCGTAAATGTAATTGAATGCATGATGTGAAAAAGAGTAAATACCTCAAGGAAAACCGAAACCGTAAAAATTACCAAAAAAATGAAGAAAAAAAAAAAACAGAGATGAGCTGATAGCAGCTTAATTGCCCATGAAAATGTTTATCCCTACACTATGCACATCTGAAGATGGATTAATTGCACTATTTGAACATGGCATTTGTTCACTAAATATAAATCTCAAGGGTTGTTTGTAACACTTTACCCGCGCACTTGCAATTTTGAACTAGAAACAGACTTTTCTGTTGCTAAAACACTTTTTTTCTCACTTATCCTAACTTTCTTTACATAAATCTTCTATGGCCTCACTTGGTAACTGCCAACTACCAATAGTCCCTGCATGAACACTTTCCTTCTCGGAAAGTATGAAAACGAGACCGATCTCTGACTATAATTTCTCGATCATAAACTCTTGAAATGGCCTTTAGAGCCACATGACAATCCTCACAAGTCCTCAGATTCTTCACTATTCGAATAGAATCCATTGGCCGAGTATTCATGAGAGCGAACGCAACCGCTAGCTTTTCACTATGCCAAGTCACCGCATTCTCTCTATCTTCATCATTCAAATCAAACGACACCTGCGTGACATCAGCGGCATAGCCAACTGACCTCACTCTCTGCATTATTTCTCTTAATTTCTCTCGAATTTCGTCTATTTGCGGATGTATCTTATCCGCAACTCGAAACTCATGAACAATTCCATTAAACTCGAGCCAACTAACGCCAATATCAGATTGGTTCTTTTGCAAATTACCCATTGTATCCCTCACTTGAATAACTTTTTCCCATTTCCCTAAAGAGGCATACATGTTAGAGAGTAACACATTGGCTCCACTACAATTTCGAGGTTCTAGATGATCTAAATGACCTATCACACGCTCACCGAAATTGATATCACGATGTATTCTGCACGAACTAAGTAAAGATCTCCATACGGCTATATCAGGTTTTACGGGCATGCTTTTGACTATCCCAAATGCCTTTGCCAAATATCCAGCACGACCAAGCAAATCAATGTAACAACCATAGTGCCCAATTTTAGGCACGATTCCCCATAAACTCTCCATGTTATAGAAAATCGAAGAACCTTGCTGCAGAAGGCCCGAATGGCTACATCCATTTAGAACCCCCAAAATAGTTATCTCATTAGGTTTCAACTTTTCGGTTAACATTCGCCGAAAGATGCGAATGGCTTTTTCACCGAGCCCATGTATTGATAACCCTGATATCAAACTAGTGAAATTCTGAGCATCACGCTTAGGAATCTTGTCGAAAACCCCAAACGCACTATCTATTTTCCCACACTTGGCGTACATGTCAATGAGTGCAGTTGTAACATTAGAAGTTCTTGAAATACGATTTTTATCTATATAATCATGAATCCAGCTTCCTTGATCCAAAGACCCGAGATTCGCACACGCAGACAGAGCACAAACGAGAGCCGCCTCATTAGGCCTCATTGTGCGCAACATATCTCGGAAATATTTAATGGCCTCAGCGTAACACCCACTGCTAACAAAGCCCGAAACCATCACGGCCCAAGAAACATCATTTCTCACAGGCATCTCTCGGAACACTTCTCCGGCCATCGTCATGTCCCCATTCTTCGCGTAAGCCGACACTAAACTCGTCCACGCAAACACATCTCTCTCGGGCATTTCATCAAACACCTTGCTTGCGTTGTCCGGCCTCGCGAAAACAGAGTACAAATTGATCAAGGAATTAGCCACGTACATATTCAACAAAGATCCGTTTTTTACAACAAACCCATGAAAAATCTGCCCGTACACGACTTCCTCCTGGTGAGCACACGAAGTGATTACGAAATTAAAGGTATATTTATCCGGCGCCGTTCGAGTGCCGAGCATTTTGCGGAGAAGGGCGATGGGCTCGGAAGATCGTGGGATTTTTGAGTAAGCGCGAATCAGGAGGTTCCATAACAGAGCCGACGGCGGCGGCGAGGGGTAGCCGTCGAACAGGGCTCGGACGGAGCTGAGGTCGCCGGCGTGAAGGTAGCAGTGGATGAGCGAGTCGATCAAGGAACCGCGCGGCGAATCGAATGGCTCGGTGATTACTCGGGCGTGGATTTGCTTGATTCGTGAGATTGGGGGGCGCTTGCTCAGGAGCTGAGAGAGGGATCTTCTGGAGACTCGCGCCGGAGCAGTGGGTTGCATCGGAATTTGTTCCGGTAATGGCGGGAAAAAAAAAAGAGCTGAAGCCAAGTGGAAAAAGAGAGGGCTTGAAATGAATTTAAGAATCTTGGGAGGGGCAGAGGTGAAATTTTCTTAGGCTACATAGTAAATTAAATTTCTAACATTTGCTTGATTTATAATTTAATCTCGAATTTTTAATTTTGATAATAAAAACATTAGCTTTTAAAATGATATGAAAAAAAAAATATATATATATGATCCAAAGGTCAAATTAGGTGATGAATTTAGGTGCCCTTTTACTTGAATATGTTTGGTCACTATATTTGAGATGGACCAAAGCACAACTCATATTTAATTAATTTGGACTACCACCTAAAACAGTCTTTGTTTGGTACATTCATCACCAAAAATCATTTCGGTGTTTTCTTATATCATTTTATATTAAGTTTATTTAAAGTCATCACCTAGGAATTGTCTTAGAAGTTCAAGATCAGATGTCTATTTCATTAACTTGTTATTACTTCCCTTAATAATATCCAAATATTTCCTAGAAAATGCTGCATCATTTCTTTTAGATATATAATTTTAACCAAATTTTGTATCAGCATTAGATAAATGTATAAATAAAGGAAGCTCCCAGGAAATGCACTACCACTTATACATCAAATAGATTATATGTTAGAAGTATCTTGCAAGCCTCAATCTAAAGCAACAAATAATTGAAAAATGCCAAAACAAAAACATTAAACAATCCAATTAGAAATAAATCAAAGAAGGAAAAGGCAAAAAATAAATAAATAAAAATCATAAGATTGGGACAGTTTGGAACAGTCACATACAACATTTTGTTAGGTTACATTGGGTTACAAAACACTTTCGAATTGAAATATCACACTTTATAAATAATATAAGCAAAACAAAAGCATGACATTTTTATTTATAAAAAAAAATATGAAATCCTTTTCTCAATGCAGAACAAGTTCATTGCAAATCAATCAACATTTTGTTTTCTATTTTACAAATTTCAGACCCAACACAATGCAGAACTAATTCATTACAAAACAATGAACATTNAAATTACATACTCAAGAAGGTAAGAATTAGTAATAAAGAACTAAATACAAAACCTCGATGGAAATGAACAAACTACAGCTACAGAAGATTCACTCCATCTTTCTTGTAATATACTCGAATTCACGATCTTTTTACTTAGTGAAATCGAGCTAAATCCTTCGCCTTTTGTGGACACGAAGGCCTCCCGAAGCCATGAATCTCATACTCGCACGAATCACGCAAATAACAGCCGCAATATTACTCTCTCGTCGATGACAATGTGACTCGAGGCTCGTGTTATTTACTCTTTCGGCATAACAATGTGACATTCGAGCCTCGTGCTCTTCATAAAAATGCTGCGAAAAGAGATTGTAATCAGATAATTGCCCGGGACTCGGCATATAATCATAGTCGAGGACAAACGCGCAAGGATTGTATATTTGTTCAGCTGATGTTGACTCATTGTACGGATTCACGATAGCATCTTGACCGTCGATATTTTCGGAGATGACGAGATCAGATCCGCTCGATTCCTCTTGGACCGTTTTAGATGGAAATTGACGTCGAAGGGCATTTTCATCATTGAAGTGGGTGGCGTTCTTCCGATTCTCGAATGCAGACAGCAGCAGCTCGTACGCTCGATCCTATTACAAGACAATTATTCATCATTTCACAAAAAAATAAACACTATTTTTCTGTTAGAAGATAACCACATATTTCATTCCTTTTTGAGTTCTTACAACTAAATCTTGAAAAATCAAACCTTTTCATCAGCCGATAAGCTGTCGACCGGAATATAGCTCGAGTCATGGATTAACCCTTTTAATCCTCCCACGACATCAAAGGCCACGCCAGTTTTAATTCCGGATGAAGGGTAATACAGGTAAATATTTTTATCTTCAACGACGCATGTTCGAGCATGATCTACCGTGGTCTTCCATTTTGCACCACAATCGACTATCTGTACACCAAATAAAAAATAAAAATAAAAATAAAAAAACCGACTAGAGCCGATAACCAATTGATTTCTAGAAGTTACTACAACATAACGAATCTCAATGTTCAAATGATTGAACGAAACGGACCATATAAGTAGCAATAAAATCGATTCTTGATAACAAAATAAGCCAATAAAAACAGAGGAGGAATAATATGCAGGCATTACTTTCTGGAGCCTCTGAGGATCAATAGAGAGCAAAAACAGAAAATCTCCCACAGTGAATACTTTTAATTTCTCGTTCAAAAGCTTGCAGCGTGGACCATCTTTTCCTATGTTCTCCAATCGCCACACGTGATCCGAAAGAGAAGGTGGGTAGTGATTCCCATATACTTCGAAAATAAATCATTAGTCGAAAAATTCCACAAACTTTAAAAAAATAAAAATAAAAAGAAAATAATAATGTTCTGAGAATTTCTTACATTTGCTGCGGCTATCCAAGACCGAAAAAGACTCGGTCAATCCTTCTTTGACTTCAACACCTCCAAGATTCCCCACGATTCTTGCTCCGAGCCTGCAGCTGCAGCATTTCATCCAACTCGAGTCGTGTCCGAATTTGGCATTGCTTAAAATACCTACACCTTTATCAAGATAAATATAGTAACTTTTTGGAAAGTGTGGCCTTTTCTTGTCATCCTCTCTAATGATCCTTTTGTTAAAGTCCTCAGCAATTGGAGGAGAATAATCATTAATGACATCATCACTCGCGTCAAGAACTAATATCTCCACCTTTGCCGATGATTCGGGCCCACAACTTATGATCTCCTCGTTTGTATCCACAATGGCTACTCGAATATGAGTGCCGGTTTTTCCTTGGATTGTCTTCCCGGTTAGAATGGGACCCGATATCTCGTCTAAGAACTTAAGTCGTAAACATCTTTCCCTTGGCCTAGCCATCTCGCTTGCATGGTTACTAAATAAGAATGCGTTATTTGAGATAATAACAAAAGTTACTCACGAGCATTTTTGCGTAGCTTCTAAAGAGAAAAAATAAAAATAAAAACTTGACATCGATTTAGTCTTACATATTGTCACTAATTGCGTTACATTAGCAGTGTGTCGACGAATAGCCCTAAATATATCACTTGACTATTAGATATATTTCGAGAAGATGATTGATGAATTTGAATGGTGTAAGATGAGAAGTTNTATACTAAAAAAAAAAAAAGAAAAAACGAGAGATGTAACAAGGAATGATAGGAATTAAAACGAAAACGAGTAGTGAAAAATTTTGAAAAAAAGATTAAGCTCCTCACCTTGCATTAATACAAGTCAAAAATTTCTTCTCAATCGATTGAATTTCCTCTTTGACCTAAAAAAATAAGCGAGGATTTATAAACCTATATAGGCCATAAGAAAATTTCGAGACTTGGAAGTTAGCTCATAATTATAGCCATAGAACACACGATAACTGATAATAGCGTCTCTATTATACAATTCAACTCAAGGCCTCATTTAAATCCACCCACCATATATCGAAACTTGCTATATTCACAAGCTAAGTTAATTAAGTGGCACTTACAACTTTACGGACCAAATTCTCGACAAAGGGCCCGATTAGTTGATGAACCGTATGGATCACCATCATCTCAACTTCTGTTTTCATCATGCTATACATAAAAGGGGGGCCAGTTAAAGTTGAGAATCACATCAAGATCAAGAACACAATCAAGAATCAACTAAACAAACCCCAATTATTTAGTAACATACAAAAGTAAGCTAAAGATTACACAAAAACAGACTAATAAGAAAGTACAAGAAAAAAAAAATGAATACTAAACCTAGAAAGGAACAAAAAGAGATTAAAGTTCCACCATTGTTGGCTCACTTTCTTAAAGCTACAACAAATTGACCAAAACCCAATTATTTACTAACATACCAAATTAAGCTGAAGATTAGACAAAAACAGAGTAAACACCAGAAATCAGCACAACCCATTTCACTTCTCAACTTCACAATCCATTTTCAGCCAATTAATATGGCTCAAGAAGCTCAAAAAACTTGAACTTTAAAACTAGAAAGGAATAAAATTAAAGAAGGTTAAAGTTCCACCATTTTTGGCTTACTTTCTTAGAGATACAACAAATTGGCCATCATCTGAACTGTTGGCTTGCTCTGATCCACCATTAATGGTACCTTCCACCTGACAATTAACCTGCATATTTTGTAATAATTTTTTTAATCCACCTAAAATAGCCCACAATTTGTTTCTTTTTTTTTTTTATCAAGAATATTCTACCAAACAATCACTCAAAAGCTATATAGAGTTTTGAAGCTGATTGCATTTGTACAATTGTACTTACCTATTTATAGCCACAAAAGGATCCCACTGTTCATCAGTTGCCTCCTCGTTCCATGACCAAAAGCAAAAATTATAATAAATTCAAGTCAAACTACACTACCCAACACCTTCCCTGTGGCAGGGTCATAAATGGGAATAATATTTGGCACGATTGGTTAATGGCAGTTAAAAATGAATCTATGTAAGATTCTTACTAAAATCTATGTAGTTTTTGTTTTGTTTTGTCTTTTAACTGTCATGATACATAGATATTTTTTTTATTTTTTATTTTTTTTGGCTTGGTGATATGATTGGATGTAAGTTAACAACAGAGGATGAAAATATTATATTTGCAAATTTACAATTGGTAGTACAACACGCATAGTACACGGATTTTATTTGAATTTTTTATATTTTAAAAATATAAAAATATAAGTTTTTGTTTTAAGCTCTTATATATTTTTTTATAAAAGTTGTAACTTTCTTTTTATCTAAAATGACATATCACTTATAAGGCTCGCTCTTGATTTTTCTAGTTCTTATCATATAATAGGTTGGATAGATAAATTTATTTGATTTTATTATTTATCAATTAGGATTGATTAGATAATTTTTTTTTTTTTTAATTATAAAGACAATTTTTTATTTGTTTATATATATGCAATATGAATGTTAAACCCGTCAAAAAATGATAAATTTGAAAAATTAATAACTAAAAAAATATTAAATTCTAAAATATATTTATTTTATAATTTAAAAAGCTCTTATATACATAAATAAAAGTCTTGATCTACATTGACTACCACAAAAACGCATACAATTACAAATCACATAAATTTGACACATAAAAGTTGGACACATATCGCAACTCAACCAATGCCAAATTAATCCTAAGATAATAGGGGGAAAAAAAAACATAATGCTCATTAGTCTAAATTTGATTGTTAACACACAAAAATAATGGAATATAAATAATTTTTTTTTTATTATTTAATAATAGAGGAAGGGCGGCCTTGATCAAAATCAAACCATCTCTATAAAAATATCTGTACATCCCACACCACAAAACATTCTCAAACTCAAATTGAAAACTTTACACAACCAAATAGCCAAAAATTATTTAAAATTTCATCTATTTATTCAATATGAACATCAGTAACATCTTTTTACCAAGATAGATAAAAAAAGTGTCATCTCACCAGTTGACTTAAAACCGATCACCGGTCGACAAATGTTTCCCCCACGAACTGCACGAAAAAACCGCGCTAAATTAACGGTATCTCGGCAAATCAAGAACACGAGCCTTTCTTGCCACGATTCTCTTAATCGAGCAACACCATCTTATCACGCTGACTAAAACATTCCACGACCCCTTTTGGCCATTATTCACAGTAAGGTTTGAGATTGGAACAAATGCACTAATCGTGCTATGCATGTCGGTTGGGAATGCACATTCGGCTTCAACGTAATGCAATTGCTCGTTCAAGAAAAAATCTCCGCTCATTGACTCGGTTTCGCACATTAAGCCGTTAAGAACCTGTCGGGAGTAGCCCAGAGATTGTTCGTCAAAAACCGACTGAATGTAGTCTGGAAAAGTGGGATTTCCTGTCTTGAAAGAAGTTAAATCCTCGTCGCAGATGATATCAGCGGGTAAGCCCGATGAAGAGGGAATATTATCTTGGGAGTGCTCGTCATCGAAAGTGATTATTTTTTCACGATCTCTGAATGCAGCCACAACCAAATCCCGGGCTTCAACCTGCAATAAAGAAATCCCAATGGATTTGATTTGGTTTTGATTTTTGTTAACCAAAAGTTAATTTTTAAAAAAGGGGTTGGGTAGGTTCGAGTGATATTTTGAGTTTGTGGTAAAATAATATTTGAAATAAAATGATTAAAGTTGATTTAATGTAAAAGTAGGAAAAAAAGTGATTGGAAGTAATAGGAAGGTTAAAATTATATGAGTGGATGAATAAAGAATTAAAGTTGATGTAGTGTGTAAGGATGATTGACTAATATTATTTAACTAGTATCGTGACCCGTGCAATGGAATAATTCAAAATAAATCAAATAAGGAAACATAAATAGAATAAATAATTTTTATAGACAATTAAATAGATTACTATATACAATGTTTATATTGTATATTTTATTTCTCATCATGTATTAATATCTTGTGTCTTTTACATAAATGTTTATGTAAATGAACAAATAATGAGCCATGACATTCTTTAAATGAAAAGACCATTGCATGCCTTTTAAATTCATAAATGAAGCACCTAATTTCATAGTTCGCCCATAAAGTTTTACAATATAAAAGAGATTTATCCATGTTTGTCTCATTATATGCAAAATTTGAGAAATAGTATCATTTTTTTTGATAAAAATGACTAACTTATTCGACTGAGACGTTTATTAAATTTTTTGGGGATTATTTCTTAAAAACACATTATATATGATTGTGTTGATATAATGAATAATTTATGTAATAGATAGACTATATCTTTTTTTTCCTTTAACAAATTACAAATCAATAGATCTTATTTGAAGCTGGATTTTTTCTATATGGCCTCTATTATTTTCAATATTATAGGGAAAGAAATAATGGTTAACTTCTCTCATTTTCTATTTTTTTTTTTCGTCCTTAAAAACTTTACACATATGTTCTCTCTCTCTCTCTCTCTCTTTAAAATTCATGGATTTTCTCTCAAAATTTTGTTGCTACTTAAACAATAAAGATCCTTCTCTTTACTTCTTCATTATGTTATATGTTATGCGCCAGAACCACTATATGGTGTAATTGATTTATTTTTCTCAATATTATGTTATGTTATCATGTTAACATCATTATCATATAAATTAAAAATTGAGGTTTTAAATATTAGCAGTTGTATCATGTGAACATATACGCAAACTCAATTTGCTAGTTTATCTAAATCGTGGTGGTTATGGAACTCCAACTTCTCCACGATTTCATCGGTACTAATTCACTTATCTTAAAACTGAAAATATATCTATGCACTAATTAATATGTAGGAAGATCTTTTATCAAATTTTTGTTATGCTTTAATAATTTCGTTTTTTTTACCCTATTAGCATTCTAAACATATTCTTTGCTGGTATAAAGACCAATCTCAAGTTTTTTTTTTTTTATTAAAAAAACATTATTTTTTAGAAGAAAAAAACCCTTCTAATAGCTTGTGTGGTTTTATAATTTATAACGTAATTTTATTTGTTAATTATTATTTTCTATACATGTAATTACAATTTCTTTATTTGTACACCATTCTTTTATGTAAATAAGTACCATATTATTATCTAGTATCTTCATATTTTTAGGAAGGCTTTAAATATAAATTATTATTTAATACACATCATAAATAATTCACCGTGATTCAACATGTTATGTACTTGTAAAAAGAAAATTACTCTGATATTTATAAGAAATCAAAACAGAAAATACATTTTAAACTGCCTATCTATAAGTGACGACAAATCTGGATCCACTTTAACTATTAAACTATTATTAAAAATGAAAAAAAATAATAATTAATGCAAGGTGAACAGTGAACACGTTTAAAAAAATAAAAAAAAATTGAAACTAACTTTCCATAAATAGTAATATGATGAGGGACCCACTAAAACACTTACTATTTTTAGCAAGTGTGTTGTCTAATTATATAGTAAATAGATTACACCGATAATATCTATATCTATATCTGTATCTATATCTATATATATATATATATATATATATATATAAAGAGGTTGTTGGAAAATACATGAATAGAAAGTTTGACCAAATAAATATAATGTTTGACTTACTATTAATAGAAAGTTCAAAAAAACACATACAAAATCTAAATCCTATTTTTTTGGTAACAAATTTGGAGATTCTTATGGCAAAATTTGAATCCCATATTTTTCGTATCATATTTAATTTTTTTACTAAAATTTAAATCATATTTTTTTTGGTAACAAATTTGGAGATTCTTATGCAAAAAATGTGTCAATTATTTATGAAAACAGTTTTAAATAAAAATTAATTTAAAAACTGTGCAAATTAGATACAAATTTAGGAAGCAAATAGTTGTATAATTCTTAACCAATTCTAACAATCTTATTGAATAATTTTTTCTTTAAAAAAAATTGTGTAAATTGGATAAAGCCACGTGCAATTTTTATTTTAAAATAAAACTGATATTTGGACGCGATGTACATTCAAAATTATGTCCATATTTTTTGGTAACAAAAGCGGTTCATCATTGATATTTAAAGTCACCTTATACAATTATTTAGGAAAAAATATGTGCAACTTTTCAAAATTTAAATACATCGATTTTTTTGGATTCTTATGTTTTTTCTTAACCATGTTTTACCGAGATTTTGGTAAGTTCATATCATTTTTTTTTTTGGTTAAGTTCATATCATTTTCTTTAGGAAAGAGACAGTTGCATAAACATTAACATTTTATTTCAATTTTTTATTAGAATTATTTTTAATTCAATTTGTTTGGTACAAAAATTGGTGCAATGTTAAGAAAATTTGGTTGCATTTTTAGGAAAAATTGATGATTTTTTTTATTTGGTTTAAAAAAAAATCGGATCAATTTGTTTGATAAAAAAATCGGTTTATTGGTAAGAAAATCGGTCATTTCCGGGACTAACTAATGATTCTTTTCAATTTTTCTTAATCGATATTTAGAATTAGATTTAAAATAAATAATGGGTGAAAATCCTTAAAAAATTTTACTTTCTTTTTACTATAATTTTGTTCAATAAATAAGATCCTTTAATTTTTTTTAAAATTTGTTAACTAATAACTAATAATATGCAATTTTGGATAAATTCGAACACCTATGTAGTATTTTACGTGTCAAAGAATCAAATCAATAATGTTGTACGTAAAGAAGTGTTTAATAACATATAAATTTCATTTTCATGAAATTTTTAATGGCATGAGACAATTTAAATACAAAAATATCTTTTAAAAAATGTATATAATAATAAATGCTCCCTTGCATCGCACGGGCACTGTATTAGGATATATAAAGAGGTTGTTGGAAAAATACATTAATAGAAAGTTTGACCAAATAAATATAATGTTTGACTTACTATTAATGGAAAGTTCAAAAAAATACATGTGAATCTTAAGTAAGAAAATCTTAATCCTATTTTTTTGGTAACTAATTTGGAGATTCTTATGGCAAAATTTGAATTCCATTTTTTTCGTATCATATTTTATTTTTTTTACCAAAATTTAAATCATATATTTTTTGGTAATAAATTTGGAGATTCTTATGCAAAAAATGTGTCAATTATTTATGAAAACAATTCTAAATACAAATTAACTTAAAAACCGTACAAATTGGATACAAATTTTGGAAACAAATAGTTGTATAATTCTTAACCAATTTTTCCAATCTCATTGAATAATTTTTTCTTTCAAAAAAAAGTGTGTAAATTGGATAAAACCACGTGCAATTTTTATTTTAGAATAAAATTGATATTTGGACAGGATGTACATTCAAAATTGTGTCCACATTTTTTGGTAACAAAAGCGGTTCATCTTTGATATATAAAAATTAAAAAAATCTTAAAATATCCTTAAATATTTAACTTATTTGAGATCAAGATTTGTTAGGTCTTTTTAAGATTAGTCATGATTTAAAAGAAAAAAAATATTATACAAAATTTCATTCTAAATCTCACATTCACACTTAAGATTTCATAGTATTCCTCTAAAATTTGATCATATTAAAAGTCTCAAATCTTAAAAAATCTCAAAGTGGCTCTCAAAATTCTAAACGAATACATATTATATACCTATATCGTCAATTTACAATTATTATTTAATATTATTTACCCGTGCATCGCACGGGCAACATATTAGTTGATATAATATTGATGATAGTGAGGTTGAGTTATATTTGAGTTTTGATTTTTTTTTTTTAGTAAGGTTGATATCTAATCACACCCTAAGAACCCAACTATATTTCAAAACTGCAATTAGCCCCTCAAACTTTTTGTTTCAACCTATTTAAGTTGAAATAAATCTTCAGAGCAATTCTTTGCTATACATACCCAAGTTGATTTATTTATTTATTTTATTTATTTTTTAATTCTGAGTAAAAACAAGAAGAATTAAAAGCAGCAAAAAAGCTTGCCTTTTCGGGTTCGGACAGCTTATCGAAAGGGACATACTGGCCATTCGAGATAGTCCCGATCACTTGCCCAACAATGTTAAAAACAACTCCTTTTGTTTCCCAATAAGAGTATAATTCTTGTCGAGAACACAAGTTCGAGCATGCTCTACTGTGACCTCCCACATTTTAGCAGACATACCTGTACAAGAATCTGCAAGAATACGTAGAATTTGACTTGAAAATAAAGCACATAGTGAAAGTACTTATTTTAACTGATACATAACATAACATATCCTTCATATCATAGATTCATAAGACAATGAACAGCAAAAAGTCGGTCATATCTTACATTCCGAAGTCTTGTGGGGTCTAAGAAGAGTAAGATAAGAAAGTCCTGCACGGTATTTATTCTCTCCTTCCTTAACCGTTTGTGAAAAGCTCCATCTTTGCCGATTTTTTCCAAACGCCATACCTCATCGCCAAGAACTGGAGGGTGGTGTTTCTTGTATGCTAAAGAACGAAATATATAAGAAAGCTAAATCGACATCACTTTATTTCAAAATTAACATAATGACAAAAAACATAACTCACTTCATTGCAACCAATATCTACTAAGGGCGTGCTTGATTACAAGTATGAGAGAGGTTATGTGAAGTGATGGTTAGTTAAAATTATGTGAGTGGATCAATAGTGAATTAAAGTTGATGTGAAGTGTTAGAATAATCTGTTGATATTATTTAATTATAATTGATAATATTGAGAATGGTGGGATTGATTTAAAATTGAGTTAGGTTTTGAGTATGAATTGAAAAATTAGATTTTTATATTACCTTCATATAGCCAACATTTCTATACAAGCAAGCCGTTATAGTTTTACGATAAAATCTCAATAGCAAACAAGAAGATTACCAACACTATATTGGAATTAACAAAAAGGAACTCACATTCTCCACGATGATCTCGGACAACAAATGGCTTGGATCTTGCCTCTCTGACTCTGACATCACCAAGATAAAATGGTGATTGGTGAATATTGACTATCATACATCTCTCAGCTAAAATCTATCTTAAACATTTTTTCCTTGCACACACTGAATAAGAAGTAGAAAAAAGAAAACAGAAAAACAAATTACACATCCAGGTGGTGAGGAGGAGAAAAGGCGACAGTAAAACACAAATAAAACTCAAGTACTATATATAGCAACAACATTTCGTTAAAAACGTATAACAACTTACAAGGCACCTGTTCAACAACTTTTAAATAGTTCCTGACTGTAATACCTAAATAACTACCATTAGGACTTTCTGTAAATTTTTGGTGAAGGATACAATGATGAATTCATATACTCAGTGGAAAAAAGGAGAAGTTGATTCGATGGTAATCTGAAAACAAGTGCACTGTACGGCCAATTATATCGATTTCCGGTCATCATACATGAAATCATAGGGGACATAATTCACATGGATATAGTTGTAAACTACCAGAAATAAAAATTCTCCAAAATACTGCGAAATAAGTACAGCCCAGAAGGATAAAATTCCACATGTCCAGAGAAAATCAATTCCATTCGTGAAGAACACACTAAAAAAATCATGTATCTTAAAATAATCACAAAATTCTACCTTTTAAAAGAGGGCGATTTCCTGGGACGCCTCTCGTCAAGAGAAGCTCCCTCCTCCCTCTGCTGCCTCTTCTGAGACATTTCTGTTTTTTTGTTTTTTTTTAAAGAAAAAAGCCCCAAAAGGACGAATCAAACAGCACGAAGTGAGTAATACACAGGTTTTTGAGTTTTGTACATTCCAGCTTAGAGAGCTGTACGTTCCAAATCGGGAAACAAAGAGGAGAAAGTGTGTTTCCTCGAGGGAACAAGAAGACCAACATGCGTGGTCGGCGTGGTTCAATAAATGTGCATACTAATTATAATATAATATTATTACTCTCAAAATAATAATATAAATAAGAAATCTATATTTTATAATATAATTATCAACTTCTATTAATTAAGGAAAATGCTACATTGCCAGTACAACTAGGTTGACAATACAAGTAGAAACATTTATTTATGTATTTTTTTGTTTTTATTCTTTTAGATATTTTCACTTGTGTTGTCAACCTAATTGTACACTAGGTTGGCAATGTATCATTTTTTATTAATTAATTATATATTATATAAATTAAAATAACGAAAGGATATTGATTTGTATAAAAGTATTTGAAAGACATTTTATTTTGGCATTAGTTCGATTAGTTCGAACAAGCACCTGGAACCACAGAATAAAAGGGAAGATCTTTAAATATTATATTTCCTTATGTAATATTGTTTTATTTTCCTTTTATAAGTTCATGTTGATCTTATTACCGTTTTGATATGCTAGGAAATTACGTGTGGTGAGATAAAGAAGGAGAAAAGAGACATGCTTGGAGAGGAGATCAAGGAGAGAGAATAAAAGATTTACTTGCCATAGATATGCTATTATCTTGGAAGGAAATCTTGAAAGAAGACCTATGCCTTGTAGAAGACTCCAATCTAAAGGAGTTCATATATATACCCTAGAAGAAGCTTATGGCGGCCGCGGATTTTGAGACTGAAAAATATTCAAGCGCCTTTCAAGCTTCGTTTTGTTTGCTGTTCCATTTGATTTGTATTCAGTTCAGTTTACGAGTTCTTACAAACTCTAGAACTGAAGCTGCTTTTGTTTAGTTCTTTATACATTCCATCAAAACTATTTTACGGTAGATACACTTAGGGAGTAAGTGTAGGTTTATAAGTCCACGGGACGTGGCCGGAGGATTAGTTGATAGGATCAAGTAGTGTTGGCTAGATTTGAAGGGAGTTC